TCTACACGCTCCCGAAGTTTTGCGATTTAATTTGGAAACACCCTGTATAACAAGTCCCACATATTAAAAAAGAAAGTTTATTGGGAAGAGCACAATTAATCATAACTTAAGCGCAATTAATTTCTTGTAAAAAATACAAAAGGATTTCTCTATTCGATCAGACAAAAACACAAAGCTTGTAAAAATATCTAAATATTAAAAAAATGAAAATTATTAAGTTCTTTAAGAATTTTACATGTATTTTATGATTTTGCGTTTATGGTTTTTTATTTTGAAGACAAAAATATACGGACATTACATTTAGTACATAATAAATTATGTTTAATATAATAAAATAAATCATGTATATCTCTCTCTCTCTCTGATAGATATAGATTATTGCAAATTAATTGCTTTTTTTTGATAATGTTCTGAATCTTTGTACGTACAACATAATATATATATATATATAATATTATAATTATAATATATAATTATAGTAATATATAATATATTATAATTATAATATATAATTATATTAACATATAATAAATTATTATATATTACACTTTGTTTTATATTAACAGGTACAGTCTGTAAGAATAACTAAATATAAAAATATCGAGCCTCTTTAGATCAAAGATGCAACGAATATTTGGCACTTAACTTTGGTATTTACCGAATATTCGGCAATGTGTCGAATAACCGAATATTCAACGAATATTAAGCACGATTTTAATAAAAGCAGTGGACGCGCGACATTCTCACTTATAATTAGTATAACTCAAGGTTTGTTCACGTTGCATGCTCTAATATGTTCCGCTATCATATATATAGGTCTTACTCCAACGCGCTCATTAGAGTAGGAGTTATGACAAAACAGTGATGAAGTGAGTAGGAATGGAGAAAACAAACAAGTTAATAAAAAAATACATTAGTCTTTGCCAACTTTGGCAACATGAATACTAAAACATTTCAAGCCAAAAGTACCCATCGTGGACAGCATTGGTATAATTTACAAAGAAACACATGGAAGTGTTCATCTCTGATTCTAATGAGCTTCTAATACATTATTTTGTCGACGAAAATGAGGTACATACATTTTTTATTGTGTTCAATTGCATTTTTAAGAGGTGAGAGCTCATAAAAATTGAAGGAAACACTTCCATATGGTTTGTTAGACTGCGAAACGTAGAAGGTACTCGTTTTTAACAAAATTATTTTCACTGATTTTTGTAAAGAGCTACACTATAGTTTTTTTTACAAATAAAAAAAAAATCCTATTCTTACGATTAAAATTATTTGGTATTAGGTCGAATACTTAGACGATACATTCAATGTTTCGTCGAATAGTAAAAATATTACCGACTAGCCAGAGCGCCAAAGTTATCTAATATTCGTTGCAACTCTACTTAAATCTTCTATAATTGCTCGAACGTCAATGGATTAATAATCGGCGTTTTTGCTTTCCAGGACACTGGTACTTCTACCATTAACAGACTTCCATCCTCTTTCACAGTCAACACCTGTTTTGTATTCTTATCTTTCACTTGCGTTTTTTGTATAAGATTTGAGTCTAATTTTGTCATCTTCTTTGAGTTATCAGTATCAGCCACGTCGATCGATTGCAGGACGTACACTGGTTCCTGAGAGGACGTGGAATCACCTTTTGTAACAGAAGTTTCTTTTTTAAGATACATTTAGGCACAGTAATGTGTTAACCTATTGGTAAATACTTGCTTATTGGTAACGTAGAGGCGTCATACAGAGGATTACAATTTGAGAAAGCTATCAGTGGCGGTGGCATAGTTTGAGTAAAAGGCAACATTTGAGTTGGCTTCGAAAGTGTTGCCTGTACTGATTCATACTTACTAACAACGTCAGAATTATCTGTAACGTATCAATGTCAACAATTATAGAAAACTCGGAACAATAGCTGCTTTCCATTTTCACAAGTGATATTAACTTTAAAATTATGTGAATATCTTATACTCAAATAATGATGTTACTACTTGCTTTGATGACAAAGTTATCTCATAACAATACAAATTATTAAACTTCACTTTTAATGTAAATAATTAACAAGACTTAGTAAAATACATGGCGAGTTTATACAGATTGTAGGTAAAAATTCTGTTGAATATCACTTATTAGAATAAAAAAGAATGTATATTCAAGAGTTATGATGTCATGAGATAATTATCTAAATTTTGATATAAATAGAAAGCGACTAATGATACTGCAATATTTCATTTTTTTAAATTCAATGATACTCAACCTGTTTCATTCTCCTTGTTTCCTAAGCTATTTGCCTTGTTACAATTATGTTTTGCAACCTCAAGCATTGTGTTCCCACAGTTGTCACAAGATACGAGTTCCTTCATATGATTCCTCAAGTGATATACCATGAATGAATCAAGATCTGTAGTGTATTTACACTTATCGCATTGCAGCAAAGAATAAGATTTTGATTGTATTTTCTTACATCCTGGATTTGAGTCATTTTCGTTCGGTTCGATGCTACAGACAATCTCTTTTACCCCAGATCTCGTGATCTGGGGCGGTTGACATGGTTTTGGTTTGTCACCACTACCGCGGAGCTCTCCTTCGTTCAGAGAATACTTTTGTTCTAAAAAGCGCAGAATATGGTTCCGCGTCTTACGCATTTCAATCTCCAATCTATCTAGGGTGTTAACGAGCATACCGCAACTACGGCAGATCACATCTTCCTCGGTTATTACGACCATGTATCTGTAACAAGAAAGCTTATTTAACATCTTGTCGGTACGGGAGATGCAAGTCGTTTAATTAAATGTAGATTCATCACCCCTCGCCAACTAATTCTCCGAGTTTCTCGATTACCCTGGTCCGCGAGTTTTGCGTTCTGCAATTGGCCAAAGAATAAAAGCGACCCTTGACATCAGCGTCGCAGACAAAACATCGTGTCCGATCCTTCGCTTCTTCGTTGTTGTCGGCATAACTTTCTTTGTCCATGATCTCAAAAATATAGGCGAAACTTAAGAACTCTCGTGATTGTCAAAACCGTCAAAAACTGCAATCCAGAATTCAATTGAATTCAATATTGAACAACCGAGTGTCGTTAACAATATTAATGAATGTACCCAACATGCCGGCACCGCAAGATGCTCAAATGTTTCAGATTGTCTCAGATGGTTTTAGATTAAGGTTAAGCTAGGTTACGCACAGGCGTATTAATTGCTGTGGTATCCCTGGTGAAAATTTTTCTCAGAATTTTTATACGAATTGGAACATTTTTCAGAAATACTCAGAAATATTCAGAAAGTTTATATTTACTCTCAGAATTTTCCATACAAGTGAATTCTGAAATATTCTGAAATTTCTCATCCCCCATAATTTTTAAAAAATATTTATATTTTTTTTAGATTTTATAACATTTCATCAGAAATTATACTTATAAAAATCTTAGAAATCTTACGATATTTCATAATTGACATATATGAAAAATTCTGAAAAAAGATGTGAATTTTCTGAGAAGTGTTCCAATTAGTATAAAAAAATGTGAGAAAGTTATAAAATTATATAGAAATTCTGAAAAATTATATGAAAAATTCTGAAAAAAATTTTCACCAGGAATAGGCGAGGAAAAATAAATCTATTGGGGTGCGTTCCAAAACTCGACTCTTATCAACTCCGAGTATCTTTTATTCTTGTTCTTCACCGAATGTTGAACAAGGATAAAAGATACTCGGAGTTGATAGAGTCGAGTTTTGGAACGCATCTTGGATGAACATCACTGAACATGGATGAATTAGATCAAATCAAATTGAATATCGAATTCTTTCATCGGAATCGGACAATTTAATGATAAAAAAATTTTTTGTAAACTATCACATACATTTATTTGCATTATAATATAATTATTGTTTTTTTTATAGGTTTTTCTTGAAATGTGTATCATCTCCAATAGATGCAAAAATATGCGAAAAATAAAAAGAAAAATACAAAGAATGAAAAATCGAAACATTATGACAATAAAAATGAACCGCAGCGAAAATATTTCTTTTATGTATTTTACTTATTTTAATAGAAAATACCATGCTTGTTATTAAAAGTAAGTAGTTTTATTTACATTTAATTTTTTTTAAATGAAAATACTATAACAAGTGAAAATGTTTTCTAATTATTTTTCGAAGACCAGAAGTATGATCCTTCTGTCAATTATTAAAATGTCTCAGAAGAACTATATTAAATATAATTTGAGTAAAACTTAATTAAATTTAATATATATTTAATTTGTTTAAGAAATAATTCTAATTTATTTCAATTCCATATCAAATCGAATAACAATTATATAAGAGAATATTACCTCTGATATTATTTATTGTCTTTCAATTTTTTTATATTTATGCACAATATATGCTAATATATTATATATAGAAGCTATTTAAAAACTCATAAAATATTATCTCTAACACAGAGAAAGCGATATATTTATTAGAATTTACTGATAAGTATTCTTTAATTTATTCGAGTCACTTTAAAGAAAATATAATTTTATTATTATTTCGAACTAAAATATAATTAACATATAATTTTAAATGAGTTTTTTTAAATCATATAATTTTAAATGAGTTTCTTATTTCGAAAACTGTCTAAAGATATCAAAATTGAAAATTTAATAATATATTAAATAAAAATTATTTTATTTTAATATATATTTATTAAATATAAAATATATTTATTAAAAAAGAATTATAAAATAGAATTTATTACACTTCAGCATTTACATAGTCAAGAAAGGGATTTGGTTTACAATAAATTCTTACCTCATTCATCCTTCCATACTTCATATACGCTCTTATTTAACTATTTTACTATTTAACTATTTACTTTTACTTCCCAGTGAGAAATGATAATGGAATCGACATCAAATCGACGTCGATTCAATGTCGATTCGATATCGATTCCATTATCATTTCTCACTGAGTTTCTACCTCTATCTTTATCTTTAGTATTGCAGCTTTCCGATTATGACATATTTATCACCTTACCCGCCTAATTAAGTCAGTTTTATATTATCTTACTATGTTCTTGTACTACTTATTCTATTTTCTGTAACCTATGTCCTATTTCACAGCTGTTATCTTTTCACAGCCTTTCACAACCTTTCTTATCCTATACAGTACTTATCCCCACTCTACTCCCTATCTCTCTTCCCTTTTCCTTCTCAGTATTATTTTTTTATCTTTCCATAATTTCTTTATTATCTTGCCCTTACAATCATCCAATTCCTCCCTCCATAACCTATCTATAATTTTAAAAAAGAATTATATAGAAGCAATTATCTCTCTAATTAAATTATATCTTTTTATCAAACAGAATTCATAGAGGATTTTTGCTGAAAATGTATAGTATACGTAAAGTAAATTGTAAATTTTCAGCGCCGCGCTAGCAGTGAATTTTGAAACATATGTTACAATGCAAACATGAAATATTTATTAAGTAGAAGTACTAATTGTTAAACAAAAGTTTTAATTATTTGCGTTTAGATGTTTATAAATAGATGAGTTTCTGAAATGCATGAATGAATTCTCTTTTGTTTTCTTTATGTAAATGTTGGTCAACAATATTATAGAATTACAGAATGACAATAGACATAATTGTATAATTTAGTTTAAACATAGAAATTGATAAAATACGTACATACAATTGTTCTTTATTTTCTGTGCTTTTTTTGCTTAAGCAGTATAAAACCATTTAAAACAACGGACTTGAAGCAATGGAAATCATTTGCGTCATGTATTATAACTTATATTGAAGGAATTTTAGTTGAAAGTTCATATCGCAGGTAATTTTAAAGAAATATTTAAAGACATTTTAAAGACATATTTTATAGCAATTTACATTGTATTTTAATTCTAATACTTCTAATAGTTATTCATTTTAGTTTTATTTTAATTAAATAAAATATTTATATGAATATATGATAAAAACGACGCAATATTAAATTTTATTTTCTTACTTTCGGAAATTATGTTTTTAAGGCATTTTCTTTCTCTATAGTTCTAAATTATAAATCAAAATATACAGTATTTTTTAAATTTGTAGATTCATGTGGGACAGGAAATTCAATTTTAACATGAAAAATTACAATAAAAGTTTGCCCTTTTGGAGAAATATTTAAAAATTCATTCGACTTTAATCAGTAAAGTGATCGGGGCATTTGAATGATCAGTCGTTGGATTCTTTATCTTCCATCTACTTAAAAATGAGTATTTTTTAAGTATTTTTTAAATACCTCTCTAAAATGTCATGTGATTTTAGAATTTATGTTAATTTATAATACAAAATGTTCATGCATTGAATTTTTTTTCTGCTAACGTCGCATTATTGTAGATTTCTACGATAGCGAAGATAGTAGGAAATTTAATGAACGTTTGCAATCATAGTGACCAAAATTGTACTGAACAATTGTGTTCGTTAGATTTCCTAAGTTCCTACTACACGTCATACTACCATAGAAACCTACGTTGCTACGTCAGCGGAAAAAATTCAGTGCATAAATTTTGTGTTCATACCACGTATAAGTTAAAATTCGATATTTTGAGAAGCATCATACAATTATTAAAACTTTATATAAATACATGAAAAGAATGATTTTGTTGAAGTATTTAAAAATTTAGATAGATCAAAATAATTATATAGGAAGCTCAAATATGTGATGCAACGTTTTGACATTCTAGCAATTAATTTCAGCGTCATATATAATTTATTTTATATTAAATTATTTTGCTAGTCCAAAATTATTTTCTACCGCTCTTTCTTTATAAAAATATTTTGCATCAAAAATTTTTTAGAAAAGAATTATCGTTTCGGGACTTAATTATAGCCCTCATATGTTTAGTCGGTCTCCTCCTTTAAAGTATCCTTCAATATAATAATGAATTGTTATCATATTGAAAAAGTCATATGATAATGATAAGGAAAAATGGAAAATATCGTATCACATTTGGTTGCCGCAATTCGCGCGCGTATGACCGATCTCTTCGTGTCGTACGAGCAGCCTAAATATAGAGTGACACTGTGGCATTAATTTGTTGAATGGAAAGATAGGTGCGTTCATGCTCGAGGGGGACCGAGCATCATTGTGGGGTAGATCGCGACGGGGTACAGCAGAAATCTCGGCATCCGTGCGAGCCCTACCTCAAAATCGTGCTCGGTTAAGCGTTCGGCTAAAAAAAAGGGGTAACTCTATTCCCCTTCTCAAAAGTTCCGCATTCTATACTGAAGATCTCGGAAGTGATCTCGCACGTGGAAGAAGCAGAATATTTAGCAGGATGCCGAGATAAGGACCAGTGCAAGGACATTGACGGTGCAGGAAGACTGCATATTTTGGATCGTGACAACTGCGTATGTATCGCTTGCGATTTCCGCGCAAAGCTAACACCACATCGATCATTCCTTCGACAATGGAGTCCTTTTGCTTCTTTGAAGTTACGTGGGAAAAATATCTGAAAAAAAATATAGACCTATCCATCATATCGCGTGCATTATGTATAATATACAATCAAATTGTTAATTGGTTTGAAATTTCATTTGAAATTCAGCTTTTGATACAACGATCGTTTTGCACGACTTTAAGATTCCTAATTAAATAAGAAAGACGGGATCTTTTCGTTATACATTGTCGTCGTCGCGAGATGTGCAATATAAGAAGTATTTATTACTACACCGCAGTGCACAGGACACCATGAATTAAATAATAAAATAGGACAAGGTTGTGACGATGAGAACGCATTCGGTGAACGCTATGATTCCCGGAAGTGGCTCGTTATTCATCGTCCGTCATCATCAAGACCCTTGTCTACTATATGTCATACCTTGTACGCGCACCTCGCGCTCGTGCGCGCGACGACGACGATGACCGCGGGTATTATCATGCGAGAACGCAAATTTCATCTATTATTTATATTAGGGACTTATCGTCATCCCCTACATACTCTCCTCGAGCCTCTCGTAACACGTCCGGCCGCTCTTAAAGGGCTTCCTGTTTGTTAAGGTCGGCGTAACTAGATAGGACGAGCCATCCCGTTCCACCGTTTTAATCAGAAAGAAGAGCACAAGTTACACACAGTTGACGAGCCGGTCTCCACTCGCGATCGACCTGTTAGGATGAGG